GGTCTGGAAATCTTGTCATGAGATGTAATTGAAGTATCTAGATGTTTATTTTGGAAAAAGAAAATAGGAAGGACATCCTTCAGATATTTCAGGAGCTGTCATGAGAAAGCTATATGAGACTCATTGTGTGTAGAACCCAAGGAAAGCGTATGGAAGCTACAGGGAAAAAGATCTTGCTGCAGTAGTACAAGGAAGGGATTTTTAACAGTTAGATCCGTCCAAAAACAGATTCCTCTGTCTTGCAAAGAAGAAAATACTTCATCATTTGAAGAATTCGAGCAAAATTAAATAATCTGCTGGGGACTTTGCAGAGAAATCATTCTTGTGTTAGGTAGGACAGTAGCATGGATAATTGGAAAAGCCTTTCCTGGCCTAATATTTTATGATTCTATCACCCTTGAGGGATTTGCTGTCTCCCTCTTCAACACCGTCATAATCTTTCTTGTCATTGATTTTATCTTCTTCCAACTTAATACCTGATCAGATCTGCCTTTGTTGTAAGGGTTCAGTGTTCTGAGCTGTTTGTGAAGCAGTCCTGCCGTGATGGTTAATTTTATGTGTCATTTTGACTGGGATAAAGAATGCCTGGATCGCTGGTAAAACAGTATTTGTGGTATGTTTGTGAAGGTGTTTCCAGAACAGATTGACATTTGAATTGGAAGGCTGAGTAAAGCCGATGCTGTCCTGAGTGCAGGTTGGCTTCATCGAATCCCTGGAGGGCCTGAATGGAACAAAGAGGCAGAGGAAGGGCCACTGCCCTCTCTGCTTAAGGTGGGTTACCCATTTTCTACCCTAGGACCTCAGCACTCCCAGCCTGTTGAGCTGGGATTTATGCTCTCAGCTCCCATGATTCGCAGGCATCCTGACTCAGACCCAATTACACCACTGACTTCTATGGTTCTCCAGTTTACAGATCATGGGACTCCTTAGCTTCCATAATCACATGAGCCAATTATTGTAAATCAGTGCTCTCCTTTCCCTCTCTCTCTTTCTCTCTCTCTGTATAGATAAAATATCCCACTCTCTTTCTCTGGAGAACCCTGACTAATATACCTTTATACTCCTACAATCTGACTTCTATTGCAACTTTGGCAGGAAGAAAAAATCGCATTGTAAAATTCACAGTCTCTTTGCTATAACAGCCAACAATCCTGCATTTATTTTCATTCTCCTTGACTTTGTAGATGCATTGTTAATGATTCCTTGTTGTATACTTCTTTGCTTCTCCAAATACTCTTATCCTTTTCAATGGCCTTTTTTCTTTCCTTCCACCTTTGAAATTTTTGTATTTTCCTAAGGCACTGACATTTTCTGTGTATAGATTTTTATGACAATATTTGATGATGAGCTTTGAATAATTTTTAAATCTTTCATTACAATCAGATAAGTCGGTGATAGAATTTCCCTATATAATAAAATAGTAAATACTGATTTCTTTGACAGTATCCATTTGGAGCTGTTTTCTATTTTCCTACTTGAGCTGGGGAAAGTACTTCAAATTTTACTGGTTTATTTTCCTAGAAGACAAGAAAAAAATGTTTCATATTTTTATTTTTAAAAAACTTGTCTTTCAGGAACTTTACAGGATCATATTTGATATCTTATCAGTGCAGCCACTAATCCACATTACAGATGTTCAAGTATCTTATTACCCTTCATATTTAAAAATGAGTCTGAGTGTAGGAGACGCCAACATCCGAACAAGATGATCTGCAGCATGGACCTCGGGCCCTTCCTCCACAGGAGTTCCTTGTGGGAGGAGCCCGTGCGCTCAGCGAGCAGTCATTGTTAATTACTCCCCTTACCTGTATCATTCCCTTTCAATAAAAGGCTGGTGCGGAGGTTGCTCGGGGCTACCTGGAAAGTAAGGGCTAGCCCGCCTTCCACAAGCTTGTACTTCTAATCTGCCTCTCGCCTGGTTCCTTCCTGCGCTAACTGAGACCAGGGCCGCAGGAGCCCGACGGGTCGCGACATCTGAGGACAGCTGAAGACACCATAAGTCCTTTACACACCATCCACATATCAAAATTCAACTGAAGTTTAGACTCAACCACAGCTGTTAGAACATTTTGTAGAGAATAGAGCTCTATTTCCCAAATCCACACAAAGTTTATTTTTCAAAGGAATCTCCCAGTTGTTACTAAATTGCCACTTGGGCTTTTTAGTATTATTCTAGTCACATATTATATTGCTTAAAGCTCCTCTACCTTATGTCAGGCATTTGCCAACATGGGAATATCCCCCATGCAAATGCTTATCGATCATTCAAAATTACTGAAAGTACAGGGGGAGTATGTGGTTGCTAGATGGAGATAGTTGATTTAAGTCACGTGAACTCAGATTCTGAACAAATGTGCATCCTTATCAAAGGTCTAGACCAGAGCTGTACAGTAAGATTTTCTACGAGGATGAAAATGTTTTTCTATACCGTTCTGTTTGATAGCCACGAGCCACATGTGACTATTGAACACTTGAAACATAACCAGTGCAGATGACTAAATTTTCAATTTTATTTCATAGTAATTAATTGAAACTTAGCCCCATATGGCTAGAAACTACCAAACTGGCAGAACAAGTCTTTCCTCTAGAAAACACAACCATGAATTATTCTATGTTCTCCTTCTTCAGAAATAATGTAAATGTTCATAACATTAACATAGTGCTACTGTACCAAGATACAGGGCTGCACCAAAAGGTTTATACTGACTTATTCATATATGTACCTGAGCCACATTAAAGGCTGCCATAAATTTGTTCTTTTTTTTTTTTTTTGGCCAGGGCTGGGTTTGAACCCACCACCTCCAGCATATGGCACTGGCACCCTACCCTTTTGAGCCACAAGCGCCACCCATAAATTTGTTCTTGATTGAAACTATCTCAAAGTTTGCAGGAAGGGACATTCCTTTGAAGACCTTCTGGAGAGATTAGAAAAACTAATCTAGTGGGAGGCAGGTGCTGAAAACAGAGCATGCTGTGTTCAGGAATTTCCTGGAAGAGACCTGAGTAGCGGTAAATCAAGATAAGGTTATTGTGCTGCTAAATTAAAGATTATGTCTGTCCTTTACAGGTGAATACTTTGTTCTTTAAAGCAAAAAGAGATAAATAAGCCTCATGACTTTCCTGTAACTTTATTGTATTGTAAATTTAAGATGATGTGTGTACATGCAGAATGCTTTATTGTTAGGGGACATAAGTTAGTAAGAAATAAACTAGGGTTGCTGCATGCCAGAGAGAGCTACAGCCACCTCCTCTTCCAAGACATTCTGACTGCTAGTTTACCTCTGCAACTCCAGCCCGATCAAATCATGCGACACATATGACATTCCTTCATAGAATGTAGCCATTGTCGTGCTAAGTGCTGAAAAGCCTTTGGGAGCTCCTGTAAGAACTCAGAGATTACTGCGAGATGAAATAAATAACTAAAGTACAATATGATTGTACTTACTATTAGAATTATCTGAATAAAAAAAGTATGGGAACACAGCATATAAAATTGTTCATAGGAGTTAAAAAAAGTTTACTTGAGTCTATTTATTTCATAAGGCACCATGGAAGAATAAGTAGCAAAATAATATGGAGGGAAAGTAAAGAGAGGAAGTGGACAGGTGTTCCAGAAAAGACACGAACTCTTAAAAGCACTTAGTGTGTCTACGAAACAGCAAGTTATTCTACATGTGGTGTACAAAACACATTCCAGGAAAGAAGGCTGCAGGCTGACTGTGAGAGTGCTGGTGGTCAGCATGGCTGTCAAGTGGTTGCAGAGTACCCTATACTCCCCTGGTTGCAAGAATTTTTACACTTTAAGTATTTATTTTTTAATTCTGCTTTATTAGATTTATAAATTGTTATGGCAAAACTATGTCTGCTTTATCCACTACTGTACTGCCTGACATCTAACAGAGAACCGATAATACTTATTTTATGAATGAAAGTCCTGTTCTGAAGCTGATGCCCTTTGGAACCACATTACCATCCTTCAAGTTACCTCCAACTTTCTGGTTTCCACCTCTTGGTCTGGTGTTAGATTTCAGGTTATTTTGTGGCAGTCTTCGTGACAGGTTTTATGACTCTGTTCTCTGCATTTTAAATAAAGCTAAGAACTTTTAATAGGCAAACAGATTTGTAGCATTGGATCTGAGTTACCTAGAAAAAATATAATTAGACAGGAAAGGAACTGAAATAATTCCCTTTTACCAACTCTTATCAAAAAATGGCGTATTATTAAAAGGAAATTTTTTTTTTCTTTTTAAAAAGTGAGGCATAAAAGTAAAAGGGAAAGAGAATGGTACTCCAAGGTAAATATCTTCTCTTTACTGATGTCGACACAGGGAAGCAGAACAAATGTTCCCTTGCTTTCCCTTGTCATTTGCCGCCATGTACACTTAATACCTGTGTTTATGTTTCATTATTTCATGGAGCTAATCTTCCTCATAAGAGAAATAAGACTCTAGAGCACATGATAACAATTCCACAGCCTTTATAATGCCCAAATTTATTCTTTTTGTAAAAAAGAAGAAATAGTAATTACCCCCAGTAATGTCTCCCCACGTGTCTCCCCAAAATGTGCATGGCTCTGGGCCCGTGTAAAAATTAACACGATTCTCTATGCAAAGGGACCTGCTCAAATCGACTAGCTAGAGAAGAAAGGATGCTAATTATAGACACAGGTACATCGTTTCTTTGCACCGGCTCCCCAAATAAATGGAAGTCGATAGAAAAGTGGTTAATTTGATTATTACTGCACGGAAGCATTAGGGGTAATGCAAACAGAGACGAGAGTAGGTCTTCATTAACTCTGCACTCCTCCTTAATCCCGCCCGCACCCCTGGGGAGCCCCACAGCCACCCTGGAGGCGCTCGGGACCCGCGAGCCGCGCAGGACACCAGCCCGCGGCGCCCGGCGGCGACACTTCCGGCCCGCCCCGCGCCGCGCGTTCGGGTTCCGCGTCGGGGCGGGGTCTCTTGTCCCTCTGCGCGGCCCGTCCCGCCCCGCCTCGCCTCCCGGCTGACGTGTCTGCGGTTCCTCAGCGTCTCTGCTAGTCGGGCCGTGATGGCGGACGCCTGGGAAGAGATCAGGCGGTTGGCTGCCGATTTCCAGCGGGCTCAGTTCGCCGAGGCCACGCAGAGGTGCCCGACCCTCCCCTCCCTCTCCAGCGTGGAGCCCACATTAGGCCCCGAGCGGAGATGAACGGATCTGGGACCGTAGATTCCTGGACCCCAGACCTTTCCCCTCCCTGTCACCGGCCCCACATCCTCCCTCTGCTCCCACCCTGGACCGCAATTCCGAGTCTGTTCTCGGTGGGGAAACCTGCAGCTCCCAGTAATCACCCCATCCCCGCCCCAGCGTGGTGCTGGTGCTCCCCGGCCGTACCGTGGCGGAGGCTGGTGACTCCTGGCTCAGTGTTCTGATTCTTCCTCACCCACCTGCCACAAAGTCTGTGTGGCATCCTGCCTATCATACTCGTTATGAGCTAAAATAAGTTTGAAAGGAGAAACTTACCCTCAAATACCGTACTTTGCAAATAGTATGTTGACCCTTTAAAATTGTTTTCCTTTTCGTCTTCCATAACAGACCCTGACGCCATCTGTCATTTTTAGGGGTGCGGGTCACTAACCTTTGAGGGATGTGTCCGGAGGACCCTGAATCTGCTTTTTCATACTATAGAACATATATAATGCTAACGGAATCTTTTTTTACCGGTTGACTTGCTTACCTGAGAGTTTTTATTCCTTTCGGGCCTGAAGACAGCAGTCCTTTGATGTTGTATTTTGTAGCAATGACAGCAAACTAGGGTACAGTAAACGCGTGGGTGACCAACAGTAGTAGTTATGATTTTGCTAGGCCAGACCCCTGCCTGCCTGCCTCCCTGCAGACTAAGTGTATGAGTGAGGCAATGATGCACTTAACTTAAAAGAAAGTTTTGAGTA